CCAGATATGTTTTCTACGGTTGCGAAACAATTGAGGCATTAGGGTGCTCGCCTGGTGAAAAATTGCCGGGGTCGGGTATAGCTCGCGGGAAATTGGGTTAAGGGTGAAAGGGGTAATTTGGGAAATTAATGTGCATTACCGACGAGAACTTCATCTTGTTTCCTTAAATCGTGCAATCGGAACATTCTTTGGAGTGACTCGAGTTTCCTTCGTTCCTTGAAATCCTTAATTATTCCACAAATTTTTGCATTAACACACTTGAGATATTTATTGGAGCCATAATTATTCCACAAATTTTTATATTAACCCTTTGCACTCGGGGGTGATTTTGCTGTAGAAAAGGTTGCAAATCGGATCTTTGAAATTTGTTCAAACTAACGTAGAAATGAAGTATTCTCTATTTCACCGCGGTGAAGAAATTTATGGAGGCCCATAGATCTGTTCTCTGTCTTCGTTAATTATCTCGATTGCAAAGGGTTAATAATCTAAGAATATTCATTCAGTTATACAATATCCAAATGTGCAAATAATCGAGATACCCAATTTTGCGTATTTCGCAAAATTTTGCGAATTGATAATTTCCACGTTACAATTGCCCAATATCGGCGAAATTTCGCGGAGAGCAGTCAGTTTCCTCGACAAATGTTTTCTCCCCAAACGACGAATTTCCCTTGGATAAATACGTCTCGTCATATTTAGCGGGGTGTCGATCACCGGATATTCTCTCGATCGTGTCAAAATCGCATAAGAGACGTGCACACGTATAACGTGTTGGAGGTGACGCAGCGCGCGCCCTCCGAGCAAGATAGATTCGTTTCAGCGTGCACGGTGTCAAACTATAGCGAACGTGTACGCGCGTCACGGCATTTGGCAATTATCTTGCCTCGTACAGGTTATACCACGTACATACATTATGCCCCGGGGTTACTCGCGCGAACTCTCGTGCGAGCGATAATCTAGAAGCGGGTATAAGCGACAAACAGGGACGCAGATGTACTTCCTCCGTCTGACGATAGCGGCCACGCAATCCCTGTGTAACGCTCAGTGTTCTTTTCCAGTTTCTTTCGGTATTTCCGCCTTGATTACACTTCACACAACACTTGATCCATTCAAATTACTCAAAACGCGAATTTTATTCCACTCGGTTCTCTAAATCTTTCTCTCTTCTTAACCCTAATCCCCGCTATTACTATCCCCAAAGAAGAGAAGATTGATCTGTCAGAGGCGTGACAATAGCGAGAACTAAAACCGGGAAATTAATATTTATACCTCTTTGATGGGTTTTTGATGAAGTGAGGCGATAGTATTCTCGGTAGAATCGCAAAGTAGGTAAACATCGAATCTACATGGAACAGTCTTGCACAGTCTTTACAAGACATTTATCGAGAGAGAGAAAGAGACGGAGAGATTACGACGATAGAAATCGAAGGTTTTCTCCGGCTGTCCCTTAATGCTCTCAACGTAGGAACTCGTTCGATGTCATTAACAAGCCCAGCGAGAGTCGTTTTCTCGTCAAAGGAGAGTCGGAGCCCAGCTCAGTCGTACCCGGTAGGTGGGGTGCACTTGGACGTGTGGTTTCCACACAGGAATCCGAGAATCCCTCTAATTAGCACCTTGGACGCCGGCAAAGAAAATATTTCTCCGGTGCAAAGTGGGAGAAAAACGCGCGTTGTAAAAGGGAACAGCCCCCGCCGCGAGGTGGAGGGAAAGGTTAGAATGTATTAGTATCCACTTTAGAGCCGGGGCAAAGGACATTTCGTGGTTTCCTACCAGTAACGCGTACGGCCCTGAAGATTATGAATCCACGTATTCGCGTAATATTTCGTGGAAATACCCGTGGTCTTAACGCGCGCGAGGCTCGTTCCACATTACGATCATTAACGGTACGATAGTATCTGACCGGTTATACTTGTTACAAGCTTTCTCGCTTTCCCATTATCGCGTGGCATCATTTGCCTCGGCTTGGCCCGCGCGCGCGATTTGATCGCTTCGAATTCCGAGATGCATTAATTATTCCTTCGCTGTGAATAATTTAAAAGGACGATCTCGTTAAAATCCTACTCTGTCACGTTTCACCGCCTATAGTCGCGTTCGAAAAAAAAACCCAGGAGGAATTTACACGTTCGAGGAGAAAGTTGATCGGAGAGAGAGAGAGGAAGAGGGTAAAAATTACTCTCTGGTCGGAGGGAAAAAGTTGGTGGAAATTGTAAACGTTACGAGCGAGCTGTTCCGGTGTTCTTTTAAGCTCTGCTCCGCTCCTCGTCCCTCCCCCGCTTACCGAATCATTCGAAATAGCACGGAAGCTGTGTTACGCTCCGACGTTTTGCCTTAAAAACCACCGGCAACTATAGGCTGAGTAAGATCAACTCTCGAAGTGGTAGGAGGTCGTCCCGTTGAAATTTCCTTTCCCTCCCCACTCTTCGTCCGTCATTATTGTTCTTGCGTTGGAAAGTTGCGAGTTTTAATAACGTCCAGCCGTGTGATTTGATAAAAGGAACAGGTCACCGTGTTTCTGTTTCAAAGGGAATGTTTCGAGGTTAGGTTGCTTCGCTCGACTATATTTCGTTCAATTCTTGGTTTCTTTCTTTGTAATTTGAGTATCAGTGGTATAGTTGATCTTATTAGACATCTTGAGTAGCGAAATTAAGGAAATTGGATGAAAATGTCTCACCTTGACGAATTAAAACATCGGCGTCAGACTATAGGCTGCACTTAGACGTCTGCACAGCGTACGCGCAGAGTACTGTGATTGCTTTGTGACGTCTTAGGCTTAATGTATTGAGAACTTCGTTATATCGAATTTTCTTCTTTTTCAACCCGTTTGTGACTGAATTACAATTTTTTAAAAATTTGTTATCGATCTGTAACTAAATTCAGATCAATTTTTGATCGAGTACTCATTCCACTGGTCGCGAAAGTGTTGAGGAAAGTATCCTTTTATCCCATCTCCCGTATCCTCAATTTAACGCGAGTGGCAACGGTTTTTAATCATCCTCGATACTGCGAAGCAACGCAACAAGCCGTACAAGATAGCACTGTTCACCGAGCGTGTTTCGAAGAAGGAGGTAAAGAAGCAAGAGTAATCGTTTAACCCCGGATTACAAGTTACGTGTCCACCAATTAAACATTTATTCGGCGGAGGGGCGGCGGATGTTTCGCCGGTGGTCTTATTTCATCCGCGCGAATGCACCGCGTTTCCCGACGCTATTTACATGCAAATAAAACCTTAATTCGAATAAATATTTATTAAAACGGCTGCCCTTGTTTGATGGACACACGGTGCACGGTGAAGGGAACTTTGACGCTAAACACGGGAACAATTTCGCTCCGTTATGTACAAAATTAATCAGACACAGAGAGAGAAAAGCGTGACGAATTTTTTTAAATCTTCTCCAGCCAGAAAGAGAGAGAGTATGCCCCATTAACGTGCGGAATCTCAGCACGACCGGATAACCTCTGCTAGCAAGCGCGATTTAATTAAGATACGAACAATCCGGGTCGAAAGAGGCGGCCCAGGATCGATGGAAATATCGGAAAATATGAGGATTATGCCGAGGCCGACTACGTCACCGTCTATAATTCCACGCCATTAGCTGTAGCCAGCCGTTACTGGCACCGCATAATAATAACTGACATTCTTAAGATCGCGATGCAAATACCGTTGGCCATAATTAAGCCTGGCCACGTCCCTCTAGCTTGCCAGATAGTACGACGTGGCGGAAAAGAAAACGTGTTCTCGCGCCTCCTCCGATGTTCCTTGGTCAGTGCGAAGGGGAATTGCGCCGGGTGAAGAGGAACATACTTTTCAACCTTTAATCATTACGAACGTGTTGTTGGATGCTGAAACGCCTGGTGAAAAAAGAAGAAAGAAAAGGGAGGAAAAATGGAAAGAATAAATAGAAGAGAAGAAAAAGAGGAACCGTAGGAGGGAAGGCAGGGAGAGGAAAATATAGGAGGGAGAAAGGAAGGATAAATTCAACGTGGATGAAACTGCCGGGCGTGAATGCGTAATACCGTGTTTTATAAACCCTTTAATTGCCACATTCGGACACGTACATCCGGCGTAACAGCGTATGCTTTATTCGCGCAGACGTATCCGCTGTCACGTTTCCGGAGGCGTGTAAAATTGCGATGATTAAAATGTACTTGCACGTAGTGCACCGGCCTGCACACGCCATTTTCCTCTTTCTATTTTTTTTTCTTCTCCTTTTTCGCGTTCCGCATCCGTCTTTTTCTTCTTTCTCTCGCTTCCCCCCCCCCCTTTCGCTCTTTCTATATGCAAACCTGTCTTTGTCCCTCTATCTTGTTCTTTTTCATTAATCTGGAAGGAACGTTGCACGCGCCGGAAATAACGAACACCATGGACTTTTCAGAATTTGTTTAATGAAATTCCCGTAAAGTAAATTTCGCTCGTGCTCATTGTTCGTCCACGTTGTTCGGTCTTCTTGATTAAAAATTGGCGTGCTTTAGAGCTTGGCCTGGGAATAAATACAGGTGTCAATAGAGGTATCGCTGTTTGATCGAGGGTGGAACGATTGAGGAAATTTTTGATAGTTTGTTCGCGGTAGGTTGAAATTTTTGTCGGTGAAGATTTAGTGGAGAAGAAATTTTGAAGAATTTGCGACGTGAACTCGTGACTAATTTTACACAGGATCACAAAGGGTGTTACAAGTCTAAAATAAATTTGAAATAAATTCTCGAAGCATTCTTTAAATTTCTAAATTTGTCCCCACATCAAGAAGGCTTCAAAGTATAACCAGTCTTAACAATTAATGAATAATAATAGTGGATGAAGAAATGCTTAAATTCTGAGGCCAATAATGCAAAGTTTAAAATAACTCTGAAATTTACAAATTTTTCCCCGTATCGTCAAACTCGTCCCATCACAGTGTCCTCGAAATCGTCCCAATTCCCCACGTACGATCTCACACTCGAAAGACGCACCCTGTCGCGACAATTTACAACGTCATACATGCAATTAATCCCGTTTGTTGTTACAGTCGGCGGGGTGTACGTGTGTATGTTGTACGCCGTCCTGTTCCTTAAGCTATGGGCGTATGTGCAAGTGAACATGTGGTGTCGCAGGAGCAATCAGAGAAAGGCAACGAAGCAGGGCAGAATACGACGGCAGTCTCTGTCGTGCAACAATCTGCAACGTAAGTAGACCAAATATGCCTCGTAACAGCGGCAAAACATCCCTCGTTTCCAATTTTCCCCTTTTCAGTTTCTTCTTCACCGCCAACCAACCAACCGACCAGCCTCGATCTCGTTTTTCGTATCGGTTTATCGCGGGCATAATAACGCGGCATCCACTCGTTTATTTCTATCGGCGGTGTCAATTTATCGCGGCGAATACACGGCGAACGTTATTCCAGAATGCGC